TGGATGGGCGGGCGGCGGCGGGGCGGGCGGCGGGGCGGAGCGCGGGACGCGCGGTGGGGCAGGAAGGCGCGCCGGCGGCGACGGGGACGCTTGTCAAGGCGAGGAAACCGGGCGACAAAACACAAAGAAAGAAGAAGAGATCACTCAGATACACGAGTTATTTGCGCATCGTTGTCTCAGAACAAAATAAATCTTATCGCGACAGTATACACAATGGCGGAGCTATTGAAGGGTGCGACTAGAGTGGATCGAGGGTGGGCTGGGCGGGCCCTAGCAACACAGAACCCACGGAGACACAGCGAGCACGTGTGGGCGGGCGTGTGGCGCGCGGGGCCGATGAGGCGGAAACGCGGGGAGGCGCGCCCTCGGTCCTTGCGCCCCCCCCCCCCGCTCCGCCACTCCACTTCCCGACCCCAGCACATCGCCGCCGCGCCATAGAACATTTCAATATATTCGGCTTCTGTTCGACATTAGCTTACGAGTAAAACAAAAAAGGTATCAAACAAATATACAGTAGTTACAGGCCGCCGGCGCGCCGGTCGGTGCAGTGGCCCGGACGGACTCGAGCGCCAGCTCTGCATTGGCCGGCGCCGCCGCTGGCTGGAAGGGGCATCGCCGCAACAGCGGACTCGGGGACAACGCGGCCACCTGCACCTCGCGTCCGTTGCAGCGCTTTTTGATCAGACGCTACCTCTCCAGCACACAGCCACGCGTTTTACCCGGCAGACCTCCCGAGGGTGGCGTTTTGCATTACATGTGAAGCAATTGTGTGGTACTTTTCACATCATTCCACTATTCATTCGCTTTCAAAATCAAGATCCCAATTTCCACTCGCTGTTTGTGCACGCAGCAGCGTTAAAGTCTTTCAATAAAAAAAAAATTTTTTTTGTCGAACACAAGGTCAAATTTTGTATTATGGAATTGTGACAGTGCAATACATTGTGCCCTCGTCGTGGCTTGAATTGGCTGTTCGTCTCTCCGGTTGCGTCTGAGGAAAGTACTTCAGTCATTCTCTTTTTTTCTACCACCAGAGAGATAGTCCGCTTTCCAAACAGAGGCATTTATCTTATTTACAATCCATGCAGGTATTTTTGAGATATATGTTACACATTTAAATACAAACACGTTATTATGGTGAAAAAATCAATGCGTTGGTGGGAGCCCTCCACTGAGAACAACCTTCCACGATCGAAGCGCAAACAGTCTTTTCTTTTCTCGAAGTTTCACCCTGCTGACCTGCCTTCGCTACAATGCCTAAACGAAAGTCGATACATATTCTTGGAATTAAAGATATACAGACGTGTAACGTCTGTGATGGGTTTCATCTGAGAAACAAATCATCGGGAGGGGCTCACACCGAAATGAAATAAAATTCAAGTCTTCTGAGAAGGCATCGGTGCATTCGTAGACAATAGGAACCTTCCAAAATGCTACCAAAGTTCATCACATCACATTCCTAGAAAATTGGAGTCAAGGGTTACTAAGGTATACGTTCGGGCTTAATCCTGAACACAGAAGCAATGAAAGTATCAGAATATACACGTTGCGAACTTTTAACAACTCGATAGTTAATCAGCCAATTTGCTTTCTAGGAGGATGATCAATCGAATAAAAACAATTGCTGACTGACAGCAATTGATGGGCAAGTTTTTCACAACAATTACGAACTTCGAATATGAATAATTAGGAAATAAATTTCTAGGAAAAGTGACTATGTAGAAGGTCCCAACGCTGGGCTGCACCGATGCTTGATAATAGGCAATATATTGCCGAAGTTGAGTTAAAGCGCCAGTTTCTGCAATCGTGTCCCCCTTTGTTTTTTGACGCTTAGGCATTGCCGTGGATATGATTCAGGGCCCGATCTCCGGGAGGGTATTTGAACATCACTACTTTCCGAAAAATAGCATGTAACCATTCTCATTTAGTTACCCGTTAGTTAAACATACAGCATTTGCAAATGAGACAAATTCTTTAAATAAAACTCCTCCATTTTGTTCAGTGACATTTTGTATGCATATTTCCGATTATGAAGCCGTGATACAAGAAACCAGACTGCTTGTATTCAATATAGTATCTATTACCCCAAGTTAAAGTAAACCAACACGATCTGAAGAAAAGATATTACAAGAAGATCTGTCCCAAGGCGGTATCTGATTTGCATCTCAGAAAGAAACCCAAATTGAAGAGCAAGTTTACTAGTCGCGTCGGACAGTTATTCCTCAAAAAGAATACGTCGCCCTTCTCGGTCACTGCATGATGAAAACCCAGACTGTCGAAAAGTTCTCGGACAAAGGCTTTTCGGAAGAGCAGCAATCCCCTGCAACCCCAAATTCGTTCCGTGAGCAAAGTGCTCCCTGGATTGCAATCTCCACTTCCTTTCGAACAGCGCAGTGTATGGCCCATCCCTCTGAAGCGCGGATCGCAGCGCGTCTCACCCCACTGCTGCCGCTGCGGTTTCAGATGCATCCGGCGGGAATTGTGGTCCCGCCTTCCGCCGCCGTCTCCGAGCACAAAGCGTCACTTGTGCGATGCCGTGGATTTCCAGCACTTCAAACCCTCTCTTTTGCGTGTTGTTCAACATATGGTACATTAGGGCTGATGGAAGCTGTTCGCAGCTCTTTGTGTAGTGAACTCATTCCGGAAATGATTTCTTTTTGTTGGGCGTTTCTGTCTTTGTGAAATGTCAATGATAGAAGCACAACAATGTATTGTCTTTCCCACTCCCGTGTCGTTTATTCAACGAAAAAGTGCTGCTAGAAATTGAAAATAGAATTTTAATCTGGTTTGAGAAGTGAAGCGAAAGGACCGTTGCGTAACTTAACAATAATTTTACACACACAGAAAATTACTAGTTGAAAGAATCATTATTTTGTCCTTTCGGTTACAATGTTGTCTTTAAATATGTTGACACGAATATGTCACATCACATATCACTAGTAAAATATTCAAACAAACAATTTTAAACAGATTTATAGAATACAATACAGAACCACTGTCTCGAGTCTTTAGATAAACGATACCCTATTTATTTATGCGCATACACACTGAAGACTGACAACTCAAATTCACGAGGAAAATATGTGTAAATGATGTATGGACTTAGTAGTAAGTTGTTGAACTAGAGCGATGTCAAGCAATGGCATTTCTATTAGACACATTACTTCAACAAGAAAATTATTTGATACACAACACTAGATGAATCATTCATAACCGAAATGAATTGCTAGAACATAAAATTCTTTGAAATTGATTTCTAAGAAAAAATAAATGAAAAGACAAATAGACGAAGCGAAAAGCCAAACAGACTCCACAAACCATGAAGAGACATTAAGGCAAAAAATGTG